AACATAAACTAAGCAACTTGTTATATAAACGTCAGCCTGATATTTGGACAGTAAATGTTTAAATAGGGAAGACATGTGAGTGTATCGTGGATAGAATGCAAACAGGATACATATAGGAAACTTGAAGGATTAATGAAGCATAGAAGTAATATGTGAGCAAACAAATCGACTGAATGAACAGCAACAGAATGATGTTATAACTGTGTCACTCACAAGCAACTTATAACACTTTAATAACCCTGTAATATCCAGCAGTTCAGCCGCAACACACTTACACTCTATTACATACATTTTTATAGGAGTGTGATACACTGCACCGGGATCACTGGAGCCATGATCACAAAATACTGTTGTAAACAGTGCTGCACATCATGCCAAAATAAGGATTTTTCCATCTACCAACACAGACCATCGCTGTGTGCCAACCACGCACAATAATAAAGCTTCTATTAAGGTGAAGCAGCGATGTTAGATAACCCTGAGGCCACAGGAGGCATTTCACAACTGCTTTCATGAGCTCCAGCAATGAATGCTGTGGTCCTTTAAGCTTCTGCTGAATTACATGCTTCTTAGATCTGCTGCTGCTGATGATGATGGGCTCAAAATCACAACAATGAATGGGCCTCAGCGTCTGTAGTTACAGTTTAACCTGCACTTCTCACAACTGCTCAGAGCACCCTGCTCATTTATTATTGTGCCCGTGAATCAGCCTGCAGCTGCTTCTGATTGTAAATTATTTGCATTAAGATAAGAATTGTGGATGTAAATGAGTGAAGCCAGCAGGTCCTCAGCGGGGCGCCGACAACTGTCAAACCGAAAACGTCAACAACGCTCTGAAGCCTTGTGAAGCCTTAAATCCCGACTAGCTAACCGAGACCGGGACACTGAAGTGCTGGCTCTAATCGCCACCACGACGCTGAATCGGTAAAGCAGTGGGAATCGCTTTCTCTACTCCGCAATGGTCAGCGGTGTCCGGAGGAAATACAGCGGCAGGCTCCGTCCGGTGGTTCCGGTCAGGCTGGCTAGCAGGTAGCGGACAAACACACAAATGTGCGTATTTTACCTTCAGAGGAATCCCGGAGTCTCCACCGAGGCCCCCCTCCGGCGCACAAACAGATGGATATACCTTCGCTTTGTGGTCATACGAGTTATTATAACCTACATGAATGAAAATATCTGGGATAGGTAGCACCTTGTGTTGCACTGACGCCAATATGACACCTCAGTGACGTGGATTCGCCCTTTCCTCGTTCGTCGCTTCCGCGTTGCGACGACGGGCAGCGAGCGTGGACAACGTGACGTCCGTACTCCTCCTCCTCCTCCTCCAATACCCTCACAGACCAGCATCCTCCTGCAGGTGGATGATTGGACGATTCAGTCTTTCTTTGGCGAATTCAACCACAAGAAAAAGAGAAAAGAATCCTGATGTGTGCCCTTATAGTCAGAAACCACTAAATACCAGGATTGCAGGGTTACGGTTTCCTAAATGACTACTTGTTATTTTTTGTGTGCTAAAATGTGAAGGCTATGTTTTGTTTTTTCAATTTTATTATTGCTAACACATGGGAATTGAAGTATCATTGCACAGATAAGACAAAAGAAAAGACTGAAAAAAAGAAATGCACGACGTTTACAAAATAAAGCATTTCGAAATGAGGGTAAAGGCCACTAAAAATATATTTTCAGTACATCTTTGGATACAGCCCTGCTTGAAAATTCAGAAGTGAAACTGTTAGATACTGGAGAATGAGCTGATCAGTTATTATTATCATCATCATCAGGGGTGGGCCAAAGTGTGCAGGTTATCAAAAGGATTCACACATGCTGGCTCTGACACATACCTTGCTAGTACTGGGTTACACTTTTTTTTTTTTTTTTTTTTTTTTTTTTAAATAAACACACCTGAGCTTTAATTTCTTGTGGTGTACCTTCAACAAGGTGCTGGAAACGTTCCTTGAGAGATTTTGGTCCATACTGACATGACAGCAGCGCACAGTTGCTGCAGATCTGTCGGCTGCACATGTATGATGTTAATCTCCCGTTCCACCACGTTCCAAAGGCGCTCTGTTGGACAGATCTGGAGACTGGAGGCCATTCGAGTACAGCTACCTCATTTTCACATTCAAGAAACCAGTTTCATCGAAGTTTCTGTCACAAAGCTCAAATTAAATGTACACATCAGAAAATGGTTAAAATGTGGCCATAAAGACGTAAAGATTGTCAGCAATAACACTGATAAGACTGGTGTCTAAGTGATGTTTAGCTGATACTAAGGGCCCAAAGTGGACCGAGAAACCCCAACACAACGAGCATGATGGATCCATAGTTTCAAGTTTGTCATATTCTGGCCGTACTATCCAAATTCTGTGGTTCAGTCTCAAATGTTGATTGCAATGCATACTATATCTAGATTAACATAAAATCTTGTTTGCAGTATGATTGTAAAGTATGAAGACTTAACTGTAACCGGACTTGTGATGATGCTGAAGAACATTTTAAGTCTGGTAACTGGAACAATGTTCGATTCATTCAGCAGTTGTAATACGCACAAAAGTAACCACACAGCTGTATAAATACATAAAGATCACAAGAAAATCTGCTTTTAAAAACAGCCTTTATTTCATGAAATCCCCACACAAGAAATTAAAGTGTAGCCTTTACATGAATCAGAGCAAAGTATGACAAATCTTTAACGTGGTACACACAGAAATCCACCATTTACACACCACATACAGTTCTCTAAAGAAATGCACTGTCACCGATATACAGGATAGAAAATCTCAGTGTTGCACTTACAAAAGAAAGTTTCAACATTTACTTTGCATCAAGCTAAAGCCCAATTTCTTAAAACCACAAAACCTAGAAAATGTTAGCAGTGCAAATTTTAGTGTTCTCTTCAGTTCTGCAGCCCAATAATATTGCACACCCATTACACACACACACACACACACACACACACACACCTGCAGAGCCAAACATTTGCTGACATGCTACAGATTTTTAAAGTGCTAGCTTGGAATTAGATTGAGAGCCAGCCTTCAAAAATATTTGGTTCTAAATTTGTAAGCAAAAAGAACAAAAAATCTTATTTAGGATGCAGTTTAATGTAGAGTCAGCTGTGGTATTGCGATTACAGGTCTTGTATCAGGATGCTATAAACTACATGAGTGTGCTGTGACCCTCAAGTGGAACAACTACATACTCAGGAAAAATTAAGAACCTGAAGACATTCAGTTTGTTCTGTGATTAAGAATACATTCTGTGATGGAAATAAAACATAAAAGCTGCACTGCCAATTCATAAATGCATAGAAGTGTTTTACAAAGATGTTGAGGACTCAAGTGAAAATAAACATTTAAGGGGGGGAATTTAAAAAAAAAATAATATATATATATATAAAACTTTGCACCATAAGAGAAATTAAATATTTCACCTTGAGACTAAAAATTTCTATCCAGATAAAATTAACAGCAAATTTCATGTTTTTAAGACCCAAAACAAGAATGTCTCCCAAAAAAGGCAACTGAACCAGGTAACATCTGCTTACAGTAATTTCCATCAAAAGTGATCTACAAGCAAAACACCAACCGATTATATGAACATTTGTGTACTTAATTTCACCCAAAATAATATACTCTTGATTAAACTGTACATGGAATTAAAAAGCAAACACAAGCAATCAGCTTATTACGTGACATGAAAGAAGGCAGATACTGCACTGTTAGGTGGACAGCTGTAAATCAAATCAAACTAGTTTCTGTAAGGAAAGGTACAGTAGTTAAGGTTTTCCAGGCCTGATGGACAGAGGTAGGTAGCATTGAGCCTCAATCGAGGCCAGAAACCTGAGAAAACGCACACACACCGACGACCCTAACCCTCCAGAAATCAAAATATATATACACATGTACAAGCAAACCCAGGTGCAACCACATACAGTATGCGTGTATACAAAAAACAAATGTGGTTTCCTATTGAACAGTCTAGTGTGCTCTTTGAAAAAAAACAAAAACCAATCAGCCACTCTGGCATCTGATAGCGACACATGCTACACAGCATAGCTACTAAACAGTGCAATTTGTGATAGCACTTTTTGTAAGAACCTGAAGAGCTAGGTCTTTTTTTTTCTGAAACTAAAGGCTGTGAGGCCACAAAGATGTGGGTTGCAATCAAGTCAGCACCAGAACCAAAAAAAAGCTTTGGCTAATATGCTTTATTTCCACCAAAGCAGTGCCTAGTCTACAACTAGCTCCATGCCTTTGAATTAGACAGCACTACTGGGTCCTAAAAGCTAGCCCCAAGTTTGGATTCATAGTAAGTGGCTACAAAAGGCACTACTGCAAGAAAGTTAGGTGATTCACAGATGTAGGCTGAAAAAAAAGACCCAACTTTTATGTAATGCCATGCAACATTTGCATCAAACATGTCAAAGCTTATGCTGGTTCTCAAAAGCACCAAAGTAGAACTGGCACTGCATCAGTGGTGAAGAGCCATTTGTGACTTTGCAGCTGTCAAACAGTAAGCACCTGGTGTTCTGATACCTTGACAGTTTTATGGTGTTTAAAGTCAAATTGTGCTGTGCAACAGAAGTGAAAGCAAAAACAAAAAAAACAAAAAAACAAAACAAAACAGGAAACACAAAAAGTCTCAAATCACAGTAAATACTCCAGGGTTTATATCTGTTAGTGAAGGTAGCTGTGAGAGTGTACTGATAGCTGTATATCGGCAACGTTTACGCTAAGTAGTGATCCAGCTGTGAAGACTAAAATTTATTGTGCAAGACTCATTTTATTGTGCAAAAACAGCTAAACATAAGTGTGAGGAGGAGTAGCGTTTGTGACAAAGAGTAAATAAGTTCTAATATCTACGAGGCCAGTGTCTGATCCAACTGTACCGACACCAAATCCTCACATCCAGTATTTAATGTCAACATCTGGTTGCTAGAGAGAACTAATTCATCCATTTCAAAAAAAAAAAAAAAAAAAAAAAAAAAAAAGGCACAAAGGCGCTAGCTTCAGTTAGCTACCAGGCTCTCAGGTCCACTAATATATCTACACCTATGCTGCTACCTTAACGTAAATGGTTACAGAAAACAAGCAAATACAAACCACCCACTAATTGAAACAAACACTATTTAAACCGAAACCTGAAAAAAAGAAAAAAAATAAATAAGGAAAGGAAGATCGAAGGCGTTTAATGTTAAAAGACTCAGTTTGAGCAGTTCATCATAAAACCAGGTCCAATACAATTACCAGATCCAGAGACTTTGGTATATGGAGAAGACCTTTTACATCTATACGGACTACCGAAGACCTCTGTATGCAGACACTGATACTCAGCGTAATTATCTTCGTGTGGGTAATACATTATACATGCCAATACGGGGGGGGGGCAGTCCCTGGCAGGGATCCCATTTCCACATTAGGACCAAGTGCCCTAATCACATCTGCCTGATTTGACCTTCAAAAATGGTCTGAATTGTATTCCATCACCCTGTCAATAAAACCTGTTCTTCCCAGAACACACTAAAGATGAAATGGATTCCAGGCTTAATGCACTCCTTAGAAGGCCAGTCTCTTACTGGCTAGGAACTCTTCCAGCTGAACCTTGCCGCTGCCCATGAGGCCAAAAGCCGGATACATTGTTCCCGAACAATCCACCTGCCTCTCGTAAAGGCACCTCATAGTGTCGGCGTCGTAAAAATACACTCGGCACGCGTCATAATCAAGGCATATGCCCAAGCGCTGGGGCATAGGAAGGATGCGGCTGCCGGGGTCAGCTGACTGTGCGTTTGCTGTGGAAGAGCTAGACGTTGAAGAAGACTTCGGGATGATGAGTTTGCCCATGCCCAAGGTGACGAGGGTGAAGGGCTGGGAGAGCTCATAGCATGCATCTTCACTGCCGCTGTCGTGCCCGCTGTCGTGGTCATACCTGGTAAAAGGAAGGTACCGGTAAAGATTTGTTTTGCACTTGGAAAGTTTATGCAGAACTTTATTAGATGAACTTATGAATTTCAGGCAACTGATCTGGAGGAAACATCTAAGCATTGTCTGAACACTGCCTGGTCCTTATCAATTTGCATGCGTCACATAATTACCATAGAAGTCAAATTTATTTGCATTATGTAATGTTCTCCTTTACATGGGCTAATTTGCTGAAAAGGCCAAGCTTCGTCTCAATAAGCTCTTTAAGAGTTTATACTGGTTCTCTTGCGTCACAGGATTAGGTATGGCTCAAATACACTTGGCGCTATACTGCATTTGTTATGGTTAGATTTGTCACCTGTAGACCACATGCCTATAGATTATAGAAACATAAGGGGGGGGATATGGCTGCACATACCTTGGGCTGCTTGTATCTCTCGGATTGTGAAACCATTCAATCAGCTTTGTGTCGGAGGCCACGCCAACTTTAACCATGTAGGAGTATGGTTCCACCTTAAAGGCCCAGTAATGTCTGCAAAAAAAATAAAAATGCAATTTTTTCACCTCAGAAAGAGGAGGTTATGATGACCAGTTTGCCCATTCATTCACTAATGGGCTCATTTGTACCAAACCTGGGAACTGGCAGAAGATTTTGCAATTAAACCTACTTTGCACTGACGAAACAAAATCTACTGCTCAGTGAGATTTTTGTATCAAGTCCCAGTGTTGGTTGTTTGTGTTTTGCATACCTTCCCTGAGAGATGCCCGTGTCCCCAATTATGTAATCTAGTCCAATGTAGCTGCCTGTCTGCACACGTTCGGCTGCGAGCAGGAAGGCCATGCCAGCTACGCTCTCCACAGTATCCCGTCTCTTATTTAGAATGAGCCTCTCCGTGCTGAATCCACACTTGTCACTGAACAGGAAACCAAACACTGCATGCAAAAAGACAGAATAGAAGAATTAGATAAGCGGGACATAAAAAGGGTGAACAAAGAGGAGTACATGGAAATCAGAAATATGAATGGGACAAACAGACCCAGTTTCAGAAGAAGAGTCCTTATTGAGCATTTAGCTCACGTAAAAGGGAATATTTTCTCTATTCTGTTACTGGGTAAGTGACAAAGACTGACACAAGAGGGTGCTATAATACAATCTTAAAATGTACATAAAGAACTACAAGTACCACCATCATCATAACACCATGACAGAGAAGTCTAATGAAACCATGTCCTATATTTCTCATCTGGCTGCAAATGTATTCTATAAATAGTCTGAAGGCCAAAGGCCATGATTACCATGCACCAGGATACATACAAGCTAACATGATTATGCCGGTTCACTCAGCCATTCTCTCCAATCTGAGGCCTACACTGGGGAAAACCTAGTTAATTAGCATGCGTCTAGGGAAGTCCTTTAAACAACTAGGGCATGATGATCATGTTTGTATAAGCTAACCCAACGTGTGAAAAGACAACGAGACAGGAGTTTTATGCAGTCTTATTTAGCTTTGCATTTGTTTCAAATATTGCACACAAGCTGGTAGATTCCCATTTTCAAGTATGATAAACTTTGTATCGCTGATGTTGAAATATGTATGCAAAGTGACCTGAGCTGTTTCCATTCTTTAGATTTTATATAAAGAATTCAATATTCTCTGTGCACCCTGACATCCAAGAAATTCCACTAAAGGGTTATACACCAAAAGTTCAAACCCCTAGGTGAAATCCTTGTCTAGTTATCGCATTCACTAAACTTTCAGATTCTAAACATCTGACCTTAGCCTCAAGTTCACTGAGATGCAGATTTGTCCAAGACTTGCAATAGAAATGCCCACGGTATCAACTTATAAAAGGTTCTGTGTCGCTTCATTTTCAAGTTATCGCATTCACAAACCTGAGTGTCCATGTTTCCCACCCATCCACCGACTGCAATACCATAGCCTTTAATGGCTGAGGGGTTAAAAACTAAAGACAGTCTGTAGACTATACATCCATTTTACACACACACACACACACACACACACACACACACACACACTATATCAGATATTTACATCTGACATTATTTGAACTACTGATTCCACATATACACAGTGACACAGGGTGACTTTTCCCTCCAGACATTGGATGCATGAGTCAGAAGCATCAGGAGACCATCTGTTAAATTTGACTGCGGTATTACAAGTCCTCAGCAACTATTTGTACTGTAACGTCAACAATGAATGTGACATCATGCAGAAGTATAAGGCTGTTTGGGGGGGGGGGGGGGGGGGGGGGGGGTTTGAGGAATTTGTCTGACATAAATGGTCATCTTTAACCATTAGTACAAATCCTTCCCCCCCCCCCCCCCCCTCCTCCACACCTTCTCTAACCCAGATTCTGAAACCACCATCTGTTCTTCGAGCCCTAAAGAATGCAGCACCCCATAATGGGGAGGGGGGGAAAAAAAAAAGAAAAGAAAAAAAAAAAAAAAGGCCCAATATGCTTTGTGCTTGTCCATACCATTTCTAAAGAAACAGTTTGTGCTGTCCTCATTAAGTACAGTTTTAGTGGAAGATACGGAGGAAATATTGCAGAACATAACAGCTGCAACTCCCTCGATACATAAGGCAGGTGCAAGAACCCATGTCTCAGACTGGATTTCTTATTTTTCCCCAAGTCGATTTAATTAGAAAACTCAGTTAAGTAAAAATGTAAAAACGTATTTCTACTACTTCCAATCAATGACCAATTATTATGTTTGTTATCGATCTGGGTATCAGTGGGTCTAAGGTTTCCCTGATCTCACTAAACAGTTGAATCATAAATCAACATAAGTAAATTTTTATTAATAAACAGGTTCTGTAACTGGTGTCAATGGCTCATCCTTCTTTAAAAATATGATGCAACACTGATGAGTAACCAGGTAAAAAATACTGACAAGTCAGGTTTGCTAAGAACAACAATCATGTCATTGGTTTACAGATATTTTATGCTTTTGCTCCTGAAGCTAGATGTCCGACAGGCCCGTCTGCATTTTTCTTGCCACAGCCAGGGGGCAAATAGGAACAACACTGGATGGAAGCATTATTCAAAATTCCTAATAAAACATGGATGCTACCATCCATTTATTAAATCTTTAAAGAAATGATAGCTCATACAATTTATGCCGCTTGAAATTAGTTTCCAGGTAACCATTTTTTAATAATCATTTTAAATCAAATTCATGTAAATATCAACTTATGAGCACTTAGAACAGGCAAAGTTTAAGCCAAGCCAAGTTTAAGCCAAGCAGGTGACTGACATGTCAATGTTTGACATGTCAGTCACCTGCTTGGCTGGGGGCAGAGTGTTAGCATCTCATAGGAACATCAGGCTGTCTTAAACTGAAGCTGTTACATCATAAACAGCTCCTTGCAGGAGCTACAAGGGTGTAGGTTTTGTCTTTTGCATTTTTGCCTCCCTTGCTTGAAATTCCACCTCATTACTGACGCACGTAGAGTCCATCCATTCAGACTCACACGAACCAGACAGCACAGGAATGTGGACGCTCCGATCGCACAACAAAACACCACAAATAACAACACTTATCCGCAAATCAAAACGCAGGCCTATCAGATCACAGGGGGATGCAACATGTTTACAGCTGATTTTGATACAGGCTCCTGGCATGACGGAGTGGTGGAGCCTGGAGATTATCAGATTTTAAGGATGACTCATTACAAAAAAGGCTCTGCAAACCTCCTGAAATTATAGCATACACCCAGAGAAAACAGCCCAAAGTGAGGAGACTAACACCTTCCAAGCAGGATGTAAATCAAAGTGATACAGTCCCTTACTGGGAAGGCTCCATTTGAATTCAAGCCCAGCAGATGGCTGGAAATGATAATCCTTTTTAATGAATTCCACCTTGCATCTTTGAGGAAAGCTTAAGAATGCCAGCAACAGATGCAACTGCAGGTTTCTTCTCCAAGCTGACATGCCATCCACTCCCACGCACACAGACAAAAGCTATATTGGTTTCAGCAATCTGAAACAAAAGCCATTACTATGGTGATAAACTGCACCACCACTCTGCTTCATTACCTCCATCCTGCATGCTGTAAGGAAATTCAAAAATGTTTTAAAAACAGTGGAGCATCCATCATTTTATAATCTCCCTAAAGTCGAGCACAGCATTCAGCACAGACGTGCTTTGAGAACTAGAGGGGATAGAAAAAGCTTAGCTGCTGCCAGAAAGAGGCCCAATAACAGGGGTTGGTCCTCCAGTAGTCAGCGTGGCAAGTCATTAATGAGCTCAGCATCAACAACAAACAGCTTGAATTGAGTAAGTCACCACATTCTTTAACACTTTTACTCTTCCGTCTCCAGCAGAAGAACCAACACAGGATTGAAGGGGAAATGCAACTAATTTTTAACTAATTGGAATAAATCATGCGTCTCAGGCTTACCGGGTGCAGGTGGTGTGTGGAAGGTGACCTCAGGACTGTAGGGGCTGAACATGGAGTTCCTGCAGCTTCGTACTCTGAAGGAGTACAGACTGTCAGGCTCCAGGTCACACACCACGGTGCTGGGGCCGTACACTCTGTCTGTGGCCCTCCAGACACCATTGTCCTCACCATCTTCCTGGGATGGGGACTGGCCTGGGCCTCCAAGTCTGGAGAAAAATTATATTTCTCCTTCAAGTATCTGCAACTCATCCGTGGCGCTACACATCCCTCTACTCCCAAAGTCATGCTTGCACTCACCTGCGGTACTCAAGCATGTGGTGATCAGTAGGTAGGTGGTCATCAGAGAGCCTCCAGCAGATTGAGGCCTCATTATAGACTCTGCTATTGGACAGGTCAATCAGAGGTGGGTCTGGAACTGGAGAAGAGGAAGAAAGTGTAAAGAATAGAGCAAAGGAACCAGTCAGTATAATCAGGTGAAACAACAACTAAGGCCAAACAACAAGTAAACAAACTGCAACCAGGAAAGCCTGTAAAATATAGCATTTAACATCTGTTATGAAGATTTTCAAAACAATGACAAATCTGGGGAAGAGCTTGTTTTGTCCAAATTTAAAAACAAATCTCACATGGCAGACCGTAGTTCTGGAAGATTTAGGATTTGCAAGACAACAGACCATTCAATTTTATTTAGATAACAGCAACTTACAGTCACCTAAAGAGATGAAAGACGCATATGAATTTAAGAAAATAAAAATACACAGCAATAGCAGCCAAATTACTTTCATTCTAATCACGCTGAGCCCTGTATTTCAGCTACATAGCTTGGGCTTAAGCAAATGAAGCAATGCAAGTATAGCTAAGATTAGCTTTGTCGGGATCAAGACTATCCACTCAGGACAATGGACTATCTTGCATAATGAAGCTTAAGAGTTTTTCCCAGACTCACAGCCAGGAAATGCACTTACACCCAACTCAGCTTCTTTCCCTTACTGCACTTTGTTTTTCCCCCATCCATTTTCTCAACAGTCATTTCAATTTCCTGCTTGTGTTGTTAACCCATCTCTCCATGGCTTTACATTCACCTACATATATACTGCCTCTGGCTTATGCTAGAGGACAAACCCCTTGAAGGATTCCCTCAGTTACACTCCTCAGCTAATTTATTTCCTCCAGAAACAATCAAATTACTGCATCCATGTAGGTCACAGCTCCTCTCCAAGATCAAAGCATTTCTCTGTATACTTCCATCATCCTCCCAGTGAGAGTTCCCCTCATCCCTTTGGTTATATTTTTCCCCCTTCTAGTTTTCAATCCTTCCCATTTTTGTCATCTTTTCCCCACAATAGTAGATCCCCCTCACTGACCAGTGTCACCACTGCTGTTAAGCTTTCAAAGTCACTTTGCTAATCCCGAGTCCCCAATTTACTTCTCCCAGGCAGCTCTCCTTTATGAGCTTGTGTAATCTTAAAGCACAATGTATTAAGCATTCTTAATGTAGATTAGCATTAACTAGGGAAAGTAAAGAGTAACCACCACAGGCCCTCTTTTTTTTTTAAAAAAAAAAAAATCAAAGCCATCTGCTACCCTGACAAATAAAATTTTATGTTTTCACCTGTTCAAACAAGTGAGGACCAAACGGGGCAGTCAGCCATCCGACTCAGCAGGAAGCCCTCGTTCAGTGATTCGGAAGAAACACTATTGATCATGTACATTACAGCTTACACTGCAGGGAGCTGCTCCGACTCATATTCTTTATCATTCCCCTGCTCCCTGCACTGGACTTTCAACAGCTCCCACTTCAAAATCTTTAAGCTTTGACATGAAAAACATCCTTTAAGAGACATGAAATGTTGAGACCTCTGATCATAGTCTGATGTTTAGCAGAAACTCCAGTTTGAAGCTGACCACAAACGGGCATTTACACTTGAGACAAAGCAGTCTTTCACATCCTCTTAAGCAGAGCTTTTTTCCCCTTTGGGGGGGTTCATACGCCACAGTATGGCCATAGCTGGGTTAAAAGGAGTGAGCACAAACGCATCGTTATCCAAAGGATGACGAGTGCACTAGAAAACATGGACAAGACACAAGCACTGAACAAAAAACACTTGTCAGTCTCAAGTTTTTAAAAACGCAGTCAAGTACAGTACAAGGATGAAGGAGAGGATCCACCAATAATGCAGTCATTTTTAAACCTCCTTAAATGTAATTACTGCAGTATACAGGCGCACTCACAGCTTATTATCTCATAGGCTTGGACTAAGCTGGCTCCTGCAGGCCTTTAGATTAAAAGGCTGCCGCCAAACTGCTGCATGCAGCACTTTATACAAAGAAAGTCAAATCTGAAATTTAAAGGACGTTTTTAAATCAAGCCGAGGACTAAGCAAGTAACTTCTTTAAAAATATAAACTCGCTTAAGTCTTTAAACAGCTTCATTGACTATTCAAAAAGAAAAAAGGTTTTCCAGCAGCATTACCTTCCCCCCCTTTACTCCTGTAAAAAACAGAATCCACAGCTCTCTGCTCTTGTGGCCTTTGTACAGAAAGCTTTTCCTACACATTTTTATGTATCCATCCACAGTAAATTAAAGATGGCCTGTAATCAGATTATAGAGGAGATAATAACTAGATCGTTATCCAACCGTTCTTCGTGAGTCACAGAAAAACAGACCATTTTCCTTCAGTGTCTACACCGAGCCAGCGGTAGCCTTTGAGACGTCTCACATCACTGATTTTCAACAAACCGAGCGGGGCTGCTCTTCAGTGCAGTAACAAAAGCCCATAATCACAAATTCATGTCACCAACGGTCACTGGAACAAATGCCAGCTATTTAGTTGCACTAAATAATAATGTTCGGTTGCCGTTTCACTGAACAGCACCGAGAGACCTCAGTGCTGTCTATAAATATCAACATTCAATCCCTCGATATTTACCATCTAGCGCTTTGTCTGAAAGAACATCTGACAGAGCTAAAGCCTTTACTGCCACCGAAGCAGCTTGTCAAATAACTGCTATCAGTTTTTAGGATGGCCTCAAACACCAATCAAGTGTCACTGCATAACTATGACTGAAAGTCCTGTCACAACTAACCATCACTATATGCGGTGGAGAATATCAATACCACCTTCTCTCAGTCACTAATACGTATTAAGTTGTCAAGTTAGATTAAAGAAAGTAAAGCGCATGAGGAATGAGCCTCTCCCAAACAGAGCCAAATGTCAAAGCATGAGTCACAACATGGCTGTGTTGAACTCCAATTTGATTATTAAGGAAAGTCAGACAACGTCTGAGCTGGCTACCATGACGACAGCTATTGGTCTGTGCAGTCTGAGCACTTTGATGGCTGCTTTTTTTTTCCTCTCCTTTTAAATAAATAAAATGTGGCTAGTTGTAAAGTTGACAGAACCAGAGATGATTATATGCATACAAAAACTATTAAGTATGTTTCTGAGAAATCAGGTATAAGACAAGACTTTATTGATCCCACAGTGGGGAAATTTTTGCATTAACTCAGCTCAGGTATAGATAGAAGGAACATACAAATAAAATACCAATAAATATAAAATAAGTAAGATAATGCACCACACACACACACACACACACACACACACACACACACACACACACACACACCATCCAGTATGTGATTATGGATATGGTTGTGGAAATATGCAAGACAAACTATAAAGTTAACTATTCTACCACTACTATTCCTATGGAAGTCATAGATATTGTACAGTAATGCCACTGTTTTGCACATGTCTCACTCTGTATATTTTATTTAATTTATTTTATATATTTTATTTATTGTTTACTCTATTTAATTTGTAAAATATGTGTACACACACAGAAAAATATTTAGTATACACATCCAGAAATGCATATACTATTATATATTGTACATATATTTATTAGTTTCAGATGTAGCCATTCTTGTATTTTGCTTGTTTACATTATTGTATTTTGCACAACTGTTGCTTGTGAAGCTCGCACACAAGAATTTCACTCACGTGCTGTACCAATGTACCTGCACATGTGATGTGACAATAAAAGTGATTTGATATGTATAAGTACAGACATGTACACACACTTACACACTAAATATACCTGCACATGTCCAGACACATAGAAGGTCCATTATGCATGAAGTGGTGACTGTGGATCTCCACAATGTCCAGTGACTTATGACATTGTGATTGAGGAGTTATAGAGTAACTGCTGTTGGGATGAATGATCTGCGAAAGCGCTCCTTCCTGCAGCGTATGAAGTACTTTTTCTGCCCAACCAGAGGTCATTAACCATTTACTGCTCAGATACACAGGCTGTTTCAATTATACAACTAGTCTCCCTGGGCATGTCTATGATTGGAGCCAAATGCCTGGAGCTGGGCCTTCTTATAAACAGGAGACTGGGTTCCTAGGTGACACCCATGTCACTTTTCCATTCCTTCAGTTTTAGTGACAGTTCGAGGGAGGCATTGAAGCCAAAGGTGTCCCCTTTGCTTTTTCAAATCTCTGGATATACTGATGTAAATTGTATAAATTAGGACGACTGACTGAAACGTATGGGGTTGAACCAGAATTTGAGTTTGGAGTGCAATTCGATGTAGCAGTTGAGGCCGGAGTAGCTTCTCCAGTTTTTCTTCACATATTGTGTGTCAGATAAATGTCAAAGAGCATCATCTTTTAAGGTTCTAGCGTTGCCTCTGACCGGCCTTTCAGTGAGCTTGTGATGACTTGCAGTTCCTTAGCAGGACATTTTTGCAACCTGCACAATAACCTGGATGCACTTTAAATAATCCAGGTCACTCCTTCACAGACCTTTGAGTCTCAAAACGGGTGAACAGATTTAAAAACAAATCTGTCAAATCAATATAGAGAGGTTAAGTACACATAGCTTGTTAGATAATGAACAGTTACGTACCTTGATCAGATATTTAAGACATTTTTTGTTTGAGCGCTTTATGGTCTTGCTTTGAGATCAGTCTGCTATGACTTACTGTTTGCTCATTATTTTGAGGCTGTGGGAAGACAAACCTGAAATAGGTCAGAATAATGCAGGTTGAAGAAAGCATATATATTCTCAGCCCTGGGAAACTTCTACCTGAGCAGCTTTCTGACAGAGTAAACGCCTTTATAAATCAGCAGACCAGAACAAACCACCAACATCCACAATCTGTGTAGTCACGGCTCTCATTTTGGTTGCCTACAAATGACCTCTGACCTCTTAGCATAGCACAGTTTGAATGGCTCTGCATGCAACAACAAAAAATAACTTATTCAAGTTTTAACCAACTTGATTTGTAAGGAAATACAACAGCAGGGCTCTACATCATATTGCCACATTTTGTCATGATCTGGACGAGCCACAAACAAAGCCGGTCTTCATGCTCACAGATGAATAGAAGCATAAATGTCACCATGTTTTCTTTCATGAACTGATGGGATCACTTTTTCCAGCTGAGCACGATAAAGAAGCTCGCTGTTTACCACAGTTTTTCCAGAAATGAGTTTGACTGAGCACACCAAACCCCTGAAAACAATATTTGCAAACCATCCTGTAAACAGATTCACCTTTTAGTGCATCAAAGTCAACTGAAACAGGGTTTAAGTCAGAAATGATTCAATAAATGACATTTCTGCCAACCCAAGTGTTGCCTTTACTCTGAAATCATTTACCTCCACCAAAGCACATCTCTTTAAGCAGCATTTCTTCTCTGGATGTGTCCAGGACAAACTCATCAAAGCAGGGGTCAGCTGCAGGGTGAAAGGTCCTCAGAGACTCTGTGGCTTTCTGGATCCTAAAACATAATAATAATAAAAAAATAAAATAAAAAAACCCTCATCATTAAGGTAAGATTTTTAATTATAGACTTCTGTAAGGACACAAAACAGCAACACTATTCACAGCAGACAGAGTGCCTCCATTGCCCTAATGTATTTTCAATCAGTCCTGTACTCTGGGGTCATCTGGCTATTTTTAATACAGTCTCTCATAAGCACAATGAAGGATTAAAGGCTGAATCTTTGTCAAGAGTAAACTGGACAAACCATCCTATCATGACTGTAAGAGAAAAAGGTTCTAGCTTACAAAAGCTGCTCAAGGAGATCAATTAGTGAGCTTAAAGGAGAGGATACTGAGATACACAGCACTGACTTGGCACTGTGGCACAAGTCTTCTTTAAACTGTCCTTGAGTTTGGTAACCTGTGGTTCAGTAACACGTGGCTTTGTGACACATTTTAGTCAAACATTTAATCTGATTGAATGCAGCACAAAAATAAACCAAATCTAACATAGACAAAATCCTGCTTATGGCATCCAGAGAATAAAAACTAATGATTCAGTTCAGATTTCAAACTCTAAAGGCTAAAGTTATTTGTAGTTTTTGCGATTAATTAACTATGCACAGTCATGCGACTCAATATTGTAATCGTTGGACAGCCCTAACAATCATATTTAGCTTCATTTTTTAAAATGAATGTATACTTGGTTACTTTATTCATAAATTGTCACTTTGACAGTATTTAACGTCATAATTCTGTAGCTCATATTTGCTTTAAGTGCACTGCTCAACTATTCCTTCACAAAAGTGCAGCTTTCCTCACGAATAATACAGATGATTATATACGGGGAGCTTTTACTGCTCACCATTTGCATCTCTAAGCTTTGTTACATTATCAATCATTTCTATTATTGTACTTTTATCCTAAATGTTATCATTTTAAACAGATGACTGTAGTGAAGATTATAGTTTTCTGGTTTCTGAACCTTTCCATGTGCACCTGCTGAGGGACGTGAATCTCTCTACAGATGAAATATAGATGTATATCTCACCAATTTGCATACCTGACATGCAGCTGCTTCGCAGTCTGCACAAAACAGGATTGATCGGTTTCCTTCAGCACCTCCTGAGCATAGCCCACCAACCCACTGTTCTCCAGCATACCTTGGTACTCTTCCACCTGGGCAATACCATTTATAAGTCAGTTATAAGTGTTTGTTACAATTGTGACAGCATCTTGAGAAGTCAGGCTAGTTTTTAAACATCTAGAAAAGTTCAAAGTACTTATTATGGACTTCATGCAAATATGACGCATGAGATAGAGAAATCAAAGTCTCACCTGGCCTCTGAGCTGCTCCATGCGACGGTTACGAGACTGCTCGATTGACCTCAGCATCTCAGATTTTCTCTCTTGCAGAGTCTCAAACAGACGCTCAAAGTGCTCGTTGGCTTGACGCTCTGCTAACTGGCCATTTTCCTTTAAGAAAAAGACAAGTTTCTCATCATCTTAAACTAACAGTATTCATTAGATGCAATAAGCAGACATTTCTTTAAGCCAGCCAGAGTGCAAGTCATTGCCACTATGATCATTTAAAACAAAGCAGTGGGCATCGATTCCTCACTTTTTCCACTCGAGACTGTTGAATGAACCTTGACGGTACGCATTTCATTTTATTGTAATTCAGCTGCAGACATTCAACATTTTAAACTCATCTCATCTAAGCCATTGTTCGACACATAAGTAGCAAACATGAATGAATTAAGGCCTCTGTTTAGTTTTGAACAACAAAAAAGTCACTCCCATTTATACTCAATGAGACAGAAGCATCAATTGCAAAATGAAAAATTAAAAGCATAACAATCACCTATTGCTCACACACCCAGTGCCCTTTACAAAACTGAAAGCGTGGGTATGTTGAGCGCTCGCCATCTATGACCAACATCAAAGTAAAAGAGGAACCAGCTGAGACACTAAAAACCCCGACTTGCGTGAGGGAACCAAATCCTGCGTTTCCTTGTTTGTGTGGTTTGCATACTGCTTGTTCAATGATGCTGCTTACTCTTACAAAGACTGTAACTGTTCGACTCAGGCTGCTTTCTACTGAGCCGTATTAAAATTTCTTTTCTGCAGCTATCAACGGGAATTAACAGATGCATTTGTTTTGCACCATCTCATTATCAATTTGACTAGATTCAAAAAGGTTTAGACAGAATAAAGCTGATCCTTCTCCTCAAGAAGGAGGAGCAGCTTTATTGGCACAAACTGACTAGAGGAATGCTAAAAGTGTGAACAAAGTTCATAATACCTTCATAAATGTGATAAAAAGCAGTATAGTGATAACCGGCCCTTTTATTCCATCCTGAGTTACAGATTCTTTCAGCTGCTTCCTCATTGGGTCACCACAGTGGCCAGATCTACATGTTTGACTTGGCACAGATTTTACACCACATGGCCTTCCTGATGCAACTTTGCCAATTTATCCAGGATCCAAATTTGTTCTCCTCTCCTCCCAGCATCTTTAACAAGTAAGTAAGTGAGTGAGTCAACCACTGCACCATGTAGCCACCTTCTGCTCCTTATAGATTTAACACCGTCCAGGGATTTTGCAGAAGATGATAAAGTCGGAATTGTTGATATGGACATTTTGTGTGCACTTTGACGGTCAAAGAACCTCAGAGATGATGCAATAACCATAACCCAATTCCAGGTCTTTCGAGTCCAAGTTAAACTAAATCAAATCAGGTCTTTTGCCTCTGACTACAACTGATGATTAAGGGAAAAAAAAAAAAAAAAAAAAAAAAAAAAAAAAAAAAGTCTGCAGAGCATACAGTAACATCAAAGGATGTGAGAGATACAGCAGCATGAGTCAGCTCTCTCACCTCAGTCTTATTGATGAGCACCTCAAGCTCAGTAATCTGAGTCCTGACCTGGTCCTCTTTGCTGATGAGGTAATGGATACTCTTGGCCAGCTTCTCCTGGGGAGGGAGGAAGGAGAGAAAAAAAAAAAAAAAGAAAAAGTGAGCAGCATTTCAGTATTTACAGTGAGCTTCACAGAGCCTTATACTTGCTGGCACATACACAAGGCATGAGACTAATAACACAACCTTAAAATACATTTTCTGGGAAAGAAAACCGTAACAGGCACCACTTTAAAAAGAAAAGGTTTTGTAGTTTGAGACGTTCATCAAAAACAGGGGTCCAATATATCAGTTTATTACTGATGGACATCTCCGGACACAGTGACGCTGCACTTCTGTTCAAAGAAATTATAACTGACATAGGTTTCTGGGACTGATCAGGACATCTGATACTCCTCCCAAGAACTCAAAGGCAGAGCACACAAAAATCACATGGAACAAATGGTCTCATTAAATATTAAACACCAATATGTTTGTATCCACAAAAACCAGCATATAGAATTTCACAAAATCTGCCTCGACTTGCTAAGCCCTGTTAAATAAATCCCTCTAAGCAGGATGACGTTCAGGCCAACAAAACAATTACTATTAAATGCATTTTAATTAAAACCTATTCTGCTGATAGCCTCATTGTGCTTTAGGAGTGTGTGGTTGCTGTGACAGCAGCTGCCAACACAATCTCATGACATTTTCGTCTCCACGTGAACTAAACAAAACACTAAAATGAATTAAAGGTAATCATGGTGAAAGGGAAAGCTCTCAAGAGGAGTTTGAACTCAATTAGCCAGCCTGGGTTTAAGTTTCCAAACAGTGACTGACATCTACAGTGTGCTTGCTAGCACTGGAACAGGTCAAGCATTAATATTACAACAGCAGAGGAGATGAAATCCAGGAACAAGTCGGTGTGTGGCCCACTACAGAAAAAAGCTGCCTCTGAACTTCTTTTGTTGCATACTTCAGCGATGACGGGGAGCGTGGACAAAAGGCTTTTACTTGAGTCCAGTTATGCTAGCACCAAACTTCTGCACAACAATCTGCCCTTAAAGGATTCTCAAAACCTCAAATCATTAGTTTTATCTTTCACTACAGTTTACCTAGTCATTACCAGTTTTTAAATAATACAATTTAAAGTGTACTGACTGTGTGGGGGAGAGAAGAGAAAAAAAAAAAAAAAAAAAAAAAAAAAAAAAAAAAAGGTCTGAATGTGTTACCTTGAGGATCTTGTATGCACTGCCCATGGAGGTGACTTTGTGGTTAGCATGGGATCCTCCAAGCTTGCACAAGTGACACACGGGACGCCTGCAGACCTCACAGTACATGTTCACCTTCTCCATCTCGTGCTCTGGGCACATGAGAACCTGCGAGATTAAGGAGAAAACATAAATTATCGCCCCCGAGGACTCACTTTGTCACAAGTACCACTTAAGTCCCAGTTACATAAGCTCTGAAAAACAAGGACTTAAAATTAATCCAAAGAACGCATGTACACATTAAACTGCACTGTGTTAGACTGCATAGAGCTACACAGTGTTGATAAAATGTTGACAAATGAAGTGAAACAGGAAGATGAGCTAAAGCCATTTAAAAAAAAAAAAAAAAAAAAGAAAAAGGTGGTAGACAGCTCGATGAACCATTTCCTGATGGGTCTTAAAATAGAACTCAAATCAGCGCTCCAAATGCCAAGATCCTCATCAGAGGCCAAAACAGCAGATACACCACTCCTCAATGAACATGGAATGCAACAAATACACAAAAACCAAAAAGAGAAAAGTTTGTTTCCAATGGACATTCTAGACAAACACTACACAATAGGAATGTATAGACATTTGAAACAAGCTCTGGCTTGACCCAAACAGGACTCCAGCTCTATTGCTGAGGAACTGTTCCCCTTTCCTGGATGATTGCAGCTTGCTCCGATGAATACATTAACCCAGAATGTCCAGGTCACATTTAACAGGAGACATATGGGGTCTAAATGCTAGCCAGGGAAGTCTGTAGATATGTCCTGATCCAGAAAGGTCTATGCTACTCTGGCACGGTCCCACTATTAAAAAAGAAAAACCCCAAAAAAAACAAAAACAAACAAACATCCACAGGGCATAAGTACAGGTAGGAGCACATCATCTTAGGTCCTCTGTCCAGTCAGATTCCCACTGAGAACAAGCAGATCAGAGATGGTGCTCTCGTGGACATGGAAGTCTGCAGCAACAGCTCGGACAGATGCCAGCATCCAGCGTGGCAATAACCTGGCCTCGGCCAACTTCACTTAATCACGCGAGTTTGTGTTCAGCAAACAAATTACCAATCCCCAGACTAAAACCAAACAACAAGAATTGAAGACTAATTACAGAATTTGTTTGGGTTTTCACATGTAAAAAAGATAAAACTTGCACTTCTGTTTTTGACTAGTATATGACACAGGAACCAATTTTATAGTTCTGCTGAGAGTAAAGTATATTTGATTCTGTTTCTGAGTTACACCATGCGTCACTGACCTTTCTGAGCTTCAGAAAGTGATTAAATATAGTTTGATCAGCAAAGTTAAGTTTTAAGCCAAACTTTCTGTATAGCAATGATTAGAAAACCAACACAGCTGGTAAAATTCACCATGCATGACATGCAACTCTCATACCGCCATTCAATCAAGTAAGCAGAAATCTATCAACTAATGTTTAACTCTGTGATAACATATCTTGTTAACTGTTCATAGTTCAAAGTTGTTTTGTTTATCGTTTATTACTTCGTGAGAACAAACTGACAGCTACTGAGCCACACTCACCTTGGGCCTAAAATTCGTCGTGGGACCAACATACTCGTGCTGGGCTTTGGGTGTGCCCCAGGGGTGGTGCAGCTTGAAACACTCGTTACAGTAGCTCGCCTTGCAGTCCATGCAGCTCTTTGTTGCCTCCTGCTGTGGAGGCTTGCAGATGTTGCACATGATGGCGACGGCTGCGCGGGCAGCCTGCCGGTAGCGCTCCACGATGCTCTCCAGGGTGAAGTTTCGGAACAACATGCTGATGCCGCGTTCGCCCAGATCTATGTCATGCTGGCAGCCTGGGCACGGGATGGCGGTGACCCGGGGAGTCACAGATCCTCTGCGCCATCCCGGAGAGGAGATTGAACCTGGAGGAGAGCAACGAGGGCAGAGCACTGAAATGAGTGTCAGGAATATAGAGTCACAGCCTCGGGACACCCATTTTCCAGTCTTGCCTGAGGCCCTATTTTATTATGTGAAGAACAATGTCCTCTGATTTCTAATTACAGTCAATTAACAGCTTTCAAGAGGTTCCAGCACAGTTTAAAGACAAATAGATTCGTTTTGAAAAGCAAATTCACAAATAGAGCCTCAGCATGTCTCTCTTTGTGCTTCATTTCCACAGTGACAGCTGAACAATTGAGGCATGGCTGTATTGGGGCAATACACCCAGCAGCTGTCAGGGGGAAAAAAAAAAAAAAAAAAAAAAAAAAAAAAAAAAGTCCACAAAGAAAGACCATCAAGGGTACTGGAACAGGTTAAGGAGTGACGTTTGGCAGGAAAGTCAGCATCCTTGGAGCTTATACACAGTCTTAATAAGAAATGCATTTCATTCAACACTTACTACATGAAGGAAGAATATTTTAAGTGCTCACAATGATCTGGACAAAGGAAATAATTCAATTTCCCTTAAATGGGTGATTGGCAAAATAAAGATGAAAAACAAACCACATGATTTAAACAAAAATAAAAAACAAGCAATTTTAACTAAAGTGCACTGTAAGACAAAGAAAATAAGCTTTCAATAAAAATTTCAAGCAACTGACATGTCCAGTTCAATGCAGGAACACTTCACATAGCACATCTCTTAAAGCGACATTGCTTTCAAGAGTCTCACAACATTGTGCTTGTTACTGATGCGGCAGCATCAGAACAAGGCAGCAACACGGTTACACGAGATCACATCACAGACACAAGCAGGGTCTGTCAAACAAAACATCGTCACCACACTTAAAGCCAGCAAACTGACGTCAGAGCACGCAAAAATTAATATATTGCTTCACGTTTTTGAGGGATAGGGGAAGCGAGGAGTGCTGGATTTATCTCTGTTTGCAAGCCAGCATTTCCGCTCCGTTTCCGAGGACCTAAAAAATTAAATCAAACACTCCTCAGGTAAGCAAAACACAGGAAAACGATTTGAAAGCACCACTTCAGCAAAAAAAGTAAGGAGGGGCAGCTGAGGGAAAAGCAGCAGCAGAACAGCAAACACACTGATGTGATGTGTAGCCATGCTGGGTTCTCAGATGTATCAGTGAACACTGATGGTGCACCTCTACGAGGTCAGATGTGACTGACCACAAACTATAGAGCTTTGTTCACCAGTTTTTTCTACCTGAATTTATTTAACATAGGTGAAGTTAAACATTTTGCTATGATGTTACGATGAAAATCTCAGGCTAATGATGGAAATGAAGATGGCATGGTCTTATTAAAGACAAGCAGAGTCAGTGGATGACAAGTCTGGCAAAGAAAAAAAAAAATGTAAAGAAAAGCCTTCATACTTAAACGAATGGTGCTGAAGGTCTTTATATCCTGCAAAGACTGCACGTGCGTGTCATGCAGGCACACTGACTCAGGTTCTGGTCAGCACATAAGGTGTGAGCAAACAAGGCCCACAGAGCAGATGCCTGAAGCAAAGCGTGTTTGTGTGTTGATTTGTGGATCTGCAGAGGGAGCAGAGCCAAAGGCAAAAACTGACAAGTCATTGCAAAGAAAAACTGACCTTTTCTTTTTCCATCCTGTCCAGACCTTTAGACAGTATAATGCAGAAACCTACCATTTCTTCCCCCCCCCCTTAAAAGGCTTCAGATTATCAGGATACATTCTGGATGTTTAAACTCACTGGCAACTTTATGAGGTACACCTATTTAACTGTTTGTTAATGCAAATAGCAGCAATCCAGTGCATTTAGTGTATGAAGACATGGTCAAAACGATCTGCTGAAGTCCAAACTGAGCATCAGAATTTGGAAGAAAGGTGATTTAAGTGTTAGTGTAACGGTTTTTGGTGCCAGATAGTCTGGTCTGAGCATTTCAGAAACTGCTGATCCACTGGGATTCTCCCACAAAGTTATCAACAGAGTTTACAGAGAACATAATGTTACAACGGTAACTCAAATAACGCAATTTGTTACAACCAAGGTATGCAGAAGAGCATATCTGGATCTTATATTAAAACTTAAGCAGCACTATAGCTACTGCGTGCCACTCCTGTCAGCTAAGACAACTTACATACGCTCAGAAGACTTGGGGTGGGGGTGACCTGATGGGTCTCAATTTCATCTGCAAAATCCACATGGTAGGGTCATAATTTAGCCCAAATATCAAAACAGGTATAATGGCTTGGCACACTTTTGCTCCAAACGAGCATCGTAAAAAAAACCCCAAAACCAAGTAGTATTTTTGCTAACCTGCTAACCACGTCCATCCCTTGATCATATTGCACCACATCACAAAGCATGATGATGAGTTCACTGTAGTCACCAGATCCCAATCCAACCTTTGGTCTGTGGCTGAACAGGAGATCGTTGTGCGTGTGAAGCCTGTATGGTACCATCATGTCAACATGATCCAAAAATCTGAGAAGGGTTTCCAGCACCTTGTTGAATGCCATGGAGAATTAAGGTAGTACTGAAGGCAAAAATGGGTCCAATTCAGTACTAGCAAGGTGTACTTAATAAAGTGGCCAGTGAGTGTATACTATAAAAATGGTTAAGTCTGCAGTTTATGAAATATTTACTTCTATGAGCAGATATCCAAGGCAGATTAACAGGACTCCAATTAGTACAACTACACTTTGTTCAATATGGAAATGTAAAATATTAACTTAATACATGTTCTCCAAGGCCAGAAAAAAATATAATATAAAATCAAGTCAACTCCCATTATTTTTTTGTACTTTTGGGTTTGTTTGTTTTTTTAAGGGCTTTGGGGACACTACATTATTTTTTCAGTGTTCAAGAAAGAGACGCTGACTCTGCTTCAAAGCTGAGAAAATAATTGCACCCGATTAAAAACATCCACTGAGCATGTTAAATAAACTTCATTAGTTAAACTAAAAGGGCTTGTGTTAGTCTTGTTTTACTTTGCTGGCAATCTGACACTTAATTCATCATGCTTAAAATAATTAGAGGTAGGCTCAAACAGGTTTGTGTTCCTATAAGTGGTTTCTCGAACACTCATTGTCAGGTCAAGCATAACGAGCAAATTAAAGGCAAACATATCAGGAAATAATGACAGTTAACAAACTTGGCAAGTCCAAACATACTGTATGCTTTTTTTTTTCCCCACTGTGTGTTTAACTTAAGAGACCTACAGTTCTCCATGCCTATAAAGCTGCTTTAGTTGCTACCGTGATTTAGCGAATAATGTAAGGCTTAGTCCACACACACACACACACACATTCTTGTTCCACTTCAACTCCTAGGAAACTTCCTTGCCCCATTCTCACTAATTTGAGCTCCTTTCAATTCCTTTTTGGTACGAAGCAAACTGTCTGGGACACTACCTCCCTCCCTCACTCAGGCACTACTTTCTTTTACATACCGACTCATCGTTGGAGCATTTCATACCCATTTTAACACTCAGGTTTTATGCTCAGTGGATATTTTTAAGGGTCTTTTAAACCAGATATTAGTCATTAAGTGTCTAACATAGAGTTAAAAGCCTACTTTATGTATTAATCACAGAAATTCTTCATAAGAACCTATTTTATATCTGGTGTGAGTCTGAATGGTCATGTGAATAGGGCTAATGCAGACTATGTAGAAAAGAGGTTGAACCAAACTAGGGTTTCACAGGGGTTCTAGTAACACTGTACTCACTACTACAGCAACTCAAAACACGGAGCCCGCGTCTACCTCGACTTCCAAACGACCTTCGCACAGTGGCTGCAAGCAATGAACAGAGAAGTGAGGTGAGACAAACAAGGAAAAAAAAATAAATCCTTTAAATGAAACAAAGCATAATGTGAAGTGATGCGTGAATAGAGATTTTTAATATGACACTGGAAAAAAAAGTTAACTTATGAGAAAAGTGACAAAAATGGTAATGCAGTTCAGTGTCATGTAAAACATTTAAAATACATTTTGAACAAAGTACAATTAACTCTTGATTTATGCATTATTACTAGACAACTTGTATTAAAGGAGAGAGAGAAACATATACATGTCTGGACTAATAAATGTGGTCCTCATTTTATTTTTGGCCTAGAATGTGTATTAATAGCAACAGTTTGGCTTATGAGAAATGTTTGTCATGTTTATATGCCAAGCATAAAATTTAAAAAAGGAGACTGTTAGCTTAGCTCACCATTAAAATTAGGCAAAGCCAAAACCACTTTCCTACCAGCACCACTTGCAGCCTTTTGCACAGATTTAAGGGAGAAATCTTTTTTCCTTTTGATGTTCAGACACCATTTTGCTCTCAACAAATTAAACAGGGATTGTCAAAGAGTAAAGGACAGATATTTCATTTATCAAGATCCAATATGGGATTTAAAAGTAAGCTTAATTTTTGTGAGATTTATATTATAACCCACATTATATTATTTTAAGGTTTACCTTACAAAATAAAGCCTTTTGAGGCAACTGTTGCAGTGACTTGGCACTATATGAATAAAACTGAACTGAGATGTTGGCTGAACATTGATATAAACTGACTGATAGCCCTAATTATGCTGGCCTATTACCATGTAGAACATTTGACTAGGTTAATTGTCATTTACCTGTAGGCAAAGAATCAATCATGCATATGCTAAACAGATTCTGGACACCACAATAAATTAACACTGCGGAAGTTTGTTTATGCCACTGGAAAGAGAAGGAAAAAAAAATTTATAGCCATAAATAAGACAAATTTTAGAGAATGTAAACTTTGAACTTATGGGTGGAAATCCCCCCCCTTTTTTTTCCAGCGGCAGCTCAGAGCTAAAAACATTAGCATCTTTAGCCAACTAGCTAAAGATGCTACCAAAGTTGATGAGTTACCAAAATTAAGTTCGCTAAAGTCGGAAACATTTTAAATCTCCCTTAATTTTCGAAGCAAGTGTTTTTAAATTGTATAATAGGGCTGTTCGATACGTCTATCGTTTCATTTTACGCCATCATTTGTGTCGCAAAATAAATTGTTTACAGCAATATTGTTTCATCGTTTTGATGTCACTGTAGTGGCCATATTAATTTCTTAAAGTTCTCTTTCTCTTATATTTAATATAACCACACTACAGATGGATAAGCGCCTGTTTTTATGCCTTGTGGTTAGCAAAGACTGTGATAAAACCATCGGGTGTCCGCTTGTTTATGTTCCACATAAACCTTTCACAATAAAGCTCAAGATCCTGTTGAGACTTCAAAATAAACTGAATCACGTGAAAGATTATGCTGAGTATTTATGGATGAGAAGCAAAAAAAGAGCCGTCAGATGCTAAAAAATAAACCTTAGACTCAAACGTTAGAACAGGCTTTTCCCCGCAGCACGCTGTGTAATAAATACACAAAGACAACAGCGGCCTTTACAACTTATGTCTAAAAATGTATCGTTTTATGCATCAGTTAAAACACTTGACTCCAGGTACACAACGTGCAGCTGGAAACACTTCACGCAAGTCCAGCTGCCCATATTCACAGAATTTACAGAAAATGTAAACATTTTGTGATTTATATCGTTATCGGACGATAGATGTCTTATATCGGGATATGAGATTTTGGTCATATCGCACAGCCCTAATGTATAATTCAGTTACATTTTCCAATAAGAGCATGGAAAACATACTTTAATAGAAAGCAGGCAAGCAAAGCTAACCATCTCCTGGTTATAGTTTTGCATCCAGCATTTCACTTCTAAAACACCAACAAGAAAACAAATTTGCTTATTTCTCAACATGTGACAAGATTACTAAAGCCAACGCAGCCTTCGCCAGCTAACTCTTATTGAGGGTTAGCAGTTAAAGGTTAGCTGTGTTTATAGCCCCAAAACTGGGAAACGTCACGTTTTAGTAACCGCCTTTTTCAAGTCACAGTACAAGGCTTGTCCAAGCTGCACACTGATAAATATAGTCTCAAGTCTTTTCTTTCTCTCCCTTCATCTAATCCCTCAGTCATTCCTCTCAGGCAGGTTGCATCACCATGGCTACCAATGAGCTGAGCTCCCAGCAGTGAAGGCGCTAGGAGAGTTAGTTTGTTCTGTTGGGAGTTAGTGTTAATAATGTACTTCAAGGCTTCCTTCTTACACTCACTGGAAATCTGCACTCATGAACAGCCTTATTAAATATCATGTCAACCAAATGTCACTGAATTTACTGTACGTTAATGCTGTGCATTGACCTGAAAGGAGGCAGTAGTCATACTGAGTCCAGTGGCTCTGTGCACAACCTGGATTTTTGCAGGACCTCAGATTTGTTTACTCAAAAAGCAGGATTTGATTATTTCCTGCATCAACAGACGCGGTCCTGCCAGTAAGGAACAAACTTGAGCCGAACAGGGAGACTGTTCAAGAGCCCTGCCTCAGTGGTTTGGAACCAGCGCTGAATAACTTGCAAAGAGTTCACCTCAGTAAACTTCGGTTTTGTTAGTGCTACCCTTCTGATTTTGACAGTGTTCCAAGACAAGATGTTGGTTAAACATTACTCAGTCTCATACAGCACGAGTTACTGAATAGCCATAATTGTAAGAAAATGAGTGCCCACCTTTATGCACAAGTCTGCATCAGTTCAAAAATAAATAAATTAAATAGAGTCTAAAAATCAAGCACTGTAAACTTGATTTTAAATCAACTTTCACAGCATAATCACTCAACATGTTGATTTGGGGTCAGCCATTGATTATGCCCAAACGTCATCTTAAAGAACAAATTGAAAAATCAATTTAAAATGAGAAAAAAAAAAAAAAAAAAAAAAAAAAAAAAAAAAAAAAAAAAAAAAAAGCACAAACCTTTAATACCAGTGATTTAAACACATTACATTCAACACTACATCTCGAATGGTGTCCCAGTTCAATACAACACACTCATAAAACACTGAAATAAAAAAGGATTCATCAGCACAGATGTTTGGCATTTTAAGGCATGCATACGCTCTCTGGTAAACATCACAGCAGCAATGTCACAATTTACTTGATTTTTGTATCTGTCGTCTCCTTTTTTAAAAAGGGGAAAAAAGTAAGAATTGCACAGAGAGACTTGATTAAACTCTGCAGATTTCAAATATGCACACACTCTTTCCCAATCCCATTATTCCAGCATGAACCCACAACCTGCTTGGAGTTGGTATGTAGCATTTAAGTCAGACACAGCCCGGGTGATGTCAAGGGAGCAAATGAGACAACATCTTTCAGAAAATGGCCTCCAGCCCAGAGCTCTCAGGAGCCACAGAGGCGGCCTTGTGTCCCATCATGACGTTTTTTTTTTTTTTTAGGCTTAGACATTGACCCGCTTGAGCCGGACTGCAACAGTGCAACGTGCTGTGCAGAGAACATAAACATAATTTAGCCACCTGCGCCCGGACGAATCTCAACCAGCTTTCCTCCTCCCAGCTCAGCTTGGTTTTAAGAGTTTAAAATTACTCTAAATAAAAACGCAAAAAAAGGAGCTTACAGATCTCCTTTGTTCACCCGTGTGTACATAACATGCACACACAGACGATACACACATATCCAATTAAAGGTGTAGTGAAAATGATAGCTGCTCTTCTTGTCATTACTTTAACATTTCCAAATTTGTTTGATGCCCCGGGGACCAATAGAAGGCAGACAGTGAGGATTAGGGCCTGATGGAGCTTGTCAACATTTCTTTTCGAAGACAAAACTTAAGCTCGTCGACTTACTCTTCTTTCTCTCTAATGAGGCCTGCAGAAGCAGACGGGATCAGAAGTAGTGATGACTGACGGTGTTACGGCTGAGGGGTAAAATGATTAAAAATCATTTCTCAAAGTTAGTTCTGCGTTATCTAGGACAAGAAGAGGGGAGAGCAGCGTCTGAGGCGCACTAGCACCCAAACGTCGCACAATACTTGGCCTATTTAGAGTCTCTCCCAGTTTCCACGAGTCTATTCACACTCAACCATTAATTTGCATTGGCTAAAGATTTGCTTATTTCTTCATGAAGCACTCTTCTCAGTTGCACTACCTTTTTTTTTTTTTTATTTTCCACCCAAGCCTTCGGTTTTTATTTGTGTCATACTTTTCCTTATTTGAGAAGCCTTCTTTCCCTTTCTGTAGAGGAAAATCCCAACACCTGTTGCATGCAGCCTTTTGACAAGAAGCAAAAGCAAAAAGTGAAGTTGAAGGAACAAGGAGGACGATGTTACAGGAAGTTGGCATTACCAATTCCCCTAGGAATCACCACAAATGGTTGAGCATTGCATTTTGTGTTCTGATTATTAGCTTCCATTAGGCAGTGCAAGAGCTCCCACTGTTCCTGCTAATGCCCTCGATACACAAGCTTTTCAAAACCTACAGAAATATGAGATTCAACTCCCCACACCATAATCCTTCCTGTGAAGCTCACTTATAAGTTAACAAGCTTTGGTTCCTTACCCTGAGACCCACCTGATCTCACAAGCCTGTCCAGCCTCTCCATGGAGGGGGAGGGCACCCTGGACCTGGGGCTGCCCGGTAGGGAGCACTCAGAACCGGCATCAAAAGAGTCCTCGTGGTTCAACATGAGCAGCTCTTTCACACATTTGTGGCAGACGCTGTGCTGGCAGGGCAGGATCAGCGGATGGGTGAAGAGCTCCTTGCAGATTGGGCAGATCAGCTCCCTCTCTATGTTCTTGATCGGGACCTGATGATGGAGAAGGGATATCTGAATAAACTAGATTTATTTTTTAACATTTAGAGGCGTTTTCAGACAGCGCAAGTGCTGTCAGGTACACAGAACAAGACAAAAATAACTTGGAAACAAAAAAGGTGAACAGAAAGACAGAAATAGCATCACAGCTCAGAAGGATACAGCTCTCTTTGATTCCCAGACAACTACTATAATGAAGATGCTGTCTGAAAATCTGAGCAGGTATGCTGTGTCACTGCAGGTGGAGAAATGCACTTTAAGGTGGGCACACTGGGGTGTAGGTCTGACGGACAGCTATACTGATTTCAATCACTCCCCTGACTATCACAATAATGGCCATCCGCAGTGTATTTAACATGTTAGCGATAGATTACATAAACCGGGATTAAGCCCTGCTAAATATAGAGAAACAGTGAAACGCATGAGCCCAGCAGCTCACGTTTCAGCACATTAAAGACGATTACGAGCGCCTCTGCAGCAGTCCTAAAGCGGCAGATTGGTGATTTCTTTCAGGTGGTGTGATGAGACATCCTGGCGTAATCAATCAATCCATCCTCCTGCTGGTGGTGGTGCTTGAACAGCAGTAATTTAGAGAAAACACTCACGTGTTAAATACCCAGAAGGATAAAGGGAAGTTTAAACAGAAAACAGTGACCAAGCCTGTTTGAAGCGAGTCACTGCGCAAAGAAATAAGTGAAACAAACGCTGGAGTCAGCAATGAATGGAGACTGGTAACTTTTAACAATGCCCAGTCCCAGCAGCAGAGGCGAACAATGACGAGTCTCACACACACACACACACTACTATGAAACTCACTTTTCTCCAACTTACCCCGTTTATGCTGCTACGCCGCATCTCTGCAGACATCCCGGGGGAGAAAACGCTGTGTGAGAGACTTAAAAACACTTAACCCGGCGTGTTGGCTCGAGCTAAAATACCCGAACTTCTCCGACGCGACGTGAAGATGCCGACAGCGACGGATGAGTGAATTTAAATAGAGCGACGCTGCTGAGAGAGTCTGCGCCGGCCGCCCGGAGTGAATCAGCAGCCGCTTCTCTGCTGCAGGAGAGCAGGCGGGGGGAGGGAGGAGGGGAGGAGAGCCGTGTGGGAGGGGGGAGTGCGGATGGGCGGATCGAGCCGAATATCGGCAGTATCGTTACTGGCGCGATAGAATCGATATTTTCACAAGAAAATGTTCAAATACACGAAACGTTGAAAGGTTTTTTTTTTTGAATTAACTAATTCTTGTGAAAAGTTACTGAATTATGTTACTAGGTCATTGAAACACATGCAAACATAGGTGGAAATACAGTATATAAGGCAAAAACAAAGTTTGTACAATCCTAATAAGCTTGCAAGTCAATATTTGGTGTGACTCAATATTTCTTCAACAAGCTTGTAAATTCTTTGAGTGCTCTTCAGGAACAGTTCTCCGGGCTTCTTGAAGGACATTGAAAGCTTTTCTTTGGATGTTGGCTCCTTTCTGTTCTGTTGTTTGTCCAGATGATCCCAGTCAGTGTTCCCAGTGTGACTGTCAGTGTTCCATTGTGTGCTTTTCTATCCTGGTATGCTTTTACTGCTCTGGCAGTGTGTTTGGGATCATTGTCATGCTGGAAAATGAAGCCATTGCCAATGGAACGCTGTCCATTTGCATGATGGACTCCCTCTTGCCAACCGTTCTTTCACTGAGACCATTTCTGATGAAGCTTCTGTGAACATCCTAAGCCTCTCTCAAGTCCCGTGTCCGATATTTGCTGGATATGTTTTGTTTGTTTATTTCTTAGGGATATGATACTCAGGTGCTGTCAATCTGCTGTACATATGTTTTAATGCATACCATTTCCTTTTCTGTCCTCCAATTGTCCAGTTTCTTCAATTTTTTAAAGTGCACACTGCACACCATGCTGAGATATGCCAAGTTTTTGGCTAATAGCACCTCGGGAATTATTGGTGCAAAAATACTGCTTTATTTCTATCAAATTATATTATTTTTGGCACTTTCTATAGATTCAACTAAAGAAATGGGAACATATATGGGAAAGGCTGCCAGTAACAAAGTGCCTTAAGATGCAATTTAAAAGTGGTTCTGTTATGTGTTATGTGTAGACACAGCACTAATTCACCACTAATTCATCCCTTGAGTTAAGTTACCTTCTTATGTTTGAATTATTCATAGGTCAGTGTTAGGTCGCTTAACAAATGAAACATTCTTCTGAAAAAATGATTAGGTACAAGGACTGGACTGAACATGAGTGAAAGAAACGTCGGCTCCTTGGAAACAAAGAAAAAGAGAAAGAAAGAAGGGCGGGGGGCCTCAAGACTTTTGCACAAAGCTGTATATCAGGGTGACAGCCCAGGTTGACATTTTTGGGAGACAATGTTGAATGTTTGCAGTCATACTGAAGAAAAGTATGCTGTGTTTGCAGATGTTAGCAATGTGGTGTTTAATGTGTGAAGGCTTGTTGAGAACAGACCGGTAATTAAAGTGTCTTCATGTGCCGATCAGCACTTGAATTTGAAGTTCAAGGGAAAGCTCTCAAAAGCTTTACAAAAGTGCTTAAAATACAAAACAGCCTACCCTTTTCAGTATGTCCATCTTTACACCGGGTTACTACACTGACACCCAGAAGCAAAGGGGGCCTGTAAACTGAGACTGCCGTGCTCGTTACAACGTCAGGGTCCTTCCCATTACATTAGAGGATTTATGACTCTATAAATGCTTGCTGTAGTGATTATTGCGCAGGTCTGCAATTATTTTATTGAACACTAGGGTTGCCTGGCAAGTCACCCCAATAATGTTTCAGTTAGAGAACAAAAAGTGACCATAAAATAAGTTGGGTGCTTTGAGGAGGAGCTGTAATTCCTTCAAGAAGTAAAGTGGCCATGTTATTTGAATTGATTAACCGGCTTCTGCATGCACAGTCACTGGAGGCACAGAGGGCAACTTTAGGACTCTGTTTAGTCATTTGTTTGTTTGCTGGCAGACACTCGGGCCTTGCAGCGACACTGCCAGACAGCACTGTCTTGCTGCTGTGTCACATGATGAAGTTTCTGCCACTGTGGACTTTCATGTTCTCCCTGTGCTTCTGTTCCTCACAAAGTCCAAAGACTTGACAACATTAAATGTCCTGTATGATGTCATTATGTCATATGCTGTATGTCAACCTGTGACTGACTGACAGCCTGTCCTGAGTTTAACTTGGTCCTCTAGGATTTGATTCACCCTCCAACAGCCCTCTTTGATTGGATGGTGATCTATTAAAACTAAATTTAACAGTTTCACAGAGGTCGTAGAAATATTCTGACACATTACCCTCACTTACAGCATTTTTGCACTGCTGTTCACAGAAAGACGCTCAGCAAAGAATTTCTAGTTACTGTTTCATTAATAGATTTACTGGGCTCCTAATTTTATTTATTCTCTGGTATAACACTATCACTCACTGTGCACGACAGGTCTTACAACAGCTTAAAATATAACAGAAATCTGCAACTGCGGCTGGCATGTGTGAGTCAGTCGCCTCTAAGATCTTCTCCTGTTTCTGTCACACACGAAACACATGTACAGCTCTGTGCACGCATGAACGAATGCCAGAGATTGTGCTAGCAGGAGAGATACATTTCAGCACATTCTGTCAGTCTGGAGTGCATGAAATGGGTAAAGACACCCACCCAGCCCTCCCCTTTTAGTCGCAAACACACCTCAGTAACCCAGTCTCACCAAAACCACAGCTGCTGCCAAGTGGCCCACATAAGTCGGTGTTCTCCCTGCAGCAGTAACCAGTAACACACCCAGAAAAACCTCTAATTAAACTCATCATGTTCAATTTTTAGATAGATAGATAGATAGATAGATAGATAGATAGATAGATAGATAGATAGATAGATAGATAGATAGATAGATAGATAGATAGATAGGTGAGGTTAAATTAAGGGAATGAATCTCTACTTTTGAACTGCAATAATGTAAAGTGACAAATTTTCCAAGAACAGAATAAAATAAAATAGTTTGTGCTACAGGAATACAATAGGTGTGTGTCTTAATAACTCAGTCATGCACTCGTAGTGTATATAACGTAATATAATAGGATATTGTGTGACACCAACAAAGAACAGATTAGAATAGAAGTCTATGAGCATGCCTCTCCATCCTCCGACAGTCCTGCAGGCCGGCCCGGCGCTGCTGTTGCTGTCGGAGCATGCTGACAGGCAGATCGCCGCTGTCAGAAGGACCATAAATCATCCGAGCGGATGAACCTCACCTCGCCCCTCTCGATCCGCTCCACGATGCTGGCGAACTCCGTCATATCCTCCGAGTCCGACATGGCTACAGATGATGGTGATGATGGTGGGAATGACGATGGATGCACAGTAAATAGAAGAAGAGAGCACCTCGATATTTAAAAATGCAGAAAAAAAATGACGCAAACAACTGCTGCGGCTTGTTAAAGAAACAGGATAAAAGCTTCACAGCTTCGCAGGGGAGGTGAGACAACACCAAGAGAGGAAGAGCCGCTCCTCAGACCATATCCACATCATCCATCCTCTCTCGTCCTCCCTCCCTCTTTCTCTCTCCGCACGGGTTTAGGTTTGTCCGTGGAGACTATAGTAGCCCACATATGCCGGCAGCAGTTTAATTTTAGTTAGCCTCATCTTGGAAGGAAAAACCCCGCCCTCCCTCCTTTGTAGCCTCCTGTGCCATCTCCCTCCTTATCCCCACATCATCCCTCGGCGGCGATGTCTCGCCTCACACAGCTCTTTGTACTCGCCTGATCTACCATTTATCACCCCCCGAGTGAATGACTTCCCTTAATCTGTCAATCACTACAAAATCATAATCATGTCAGCCTGAAGATTAAGGGTCGGGTAGGGGGGGGGGGGTCTCAAATCAGTTAGTGCCTCTTATTCAAGTTTCTTTTACGCATGGCTGGCGGCGCACTCACGTGCGCACATGACGCTTTATGGGCCGACTTGTGGTCATTTAGCCTCACGTATGAGACTACAGGTAGCCTTTTTGTGCCACTATTTGGTTCATTTTGTTGTTTGGGAAGCTGAAAACCGCCCCTTGAATGTGACGAATCCAGACGTGTAGAGGTTTGGAGAAAAAGCCAGATTGTGAAGCCGGATTAAGTTCGTGTTTTTAATTTTTCTGGCAATTCCACTTGTTCCGCGTCGGCAGATGGCTGCACGGCTTCATGCAGATATATTCCACCCCATTGAGCATGTGGAAGGGGGACAAGCAGGCACACTGCCCTGACCGAACAACCGAAGCATAACAAACTTATTAAGTATGTTTCCAGTGGCTCCCAACCACGGATACGATCACAGTCAGCTGGCAGCAGTCGAAAAATCTCCTTAAAAAAACATTTAAAGATGCAGGTACATAACTTAACTTCTAATAGAATACTACAATAAAAAATACGAGCACCCCATCGTTGAATGATTTAGAGGTCACTAGGATCAACTTGTGGACTGAACAGACAGCAGTGAGAGGCTGCATTTAGCCAATGATGAGGACAGGAGGATAAATTGAGGGATTATCAAAGCTGAACTTCTGTCTGAGGGCAATGTGATTTCACCAGATTTCAGTGGAAAAATCTCACACCAAAACTAAATGTGGCCCTCATCATCCTGGCACAAGGAAAACCTGAGGGATGACCACACACCGTTAGTAAGAACTCATCGTGTAGGAGGCATTAATGTCTGGAACAGAGTTTATGGCCATCCATCACGTGCTGCTGCGATGCAGTGCTTTAGTTGTCATGTACATAAACCCGAGATGACACATAACTACCCCTTAAAATGCCACAGTGCTCTACACCTATTGCAAAATCAATATAAAGTACTGATTAACGTGTTTCACTAAGTAGGACTGACAGAGAATACATGTTTTATAAGCACACATTAGTTCACCTAAGGCCCTGTGATCGTTCCAGATGAGTCATTAATATCACATGAAAGGCAGAGTGGTAAACATGCTGCATTTCTTCACTTGTTTTAATAGAAACAGCTCAGTTGGCGACTGAGTTTGCATTAAGCGATGTTTACCGACTCATATTAGGTCTTCTTTGCTGGCAGATATACATGTGGGAGCATGAGAGGTGTTGATGAACTCCACAGCTGCAACTTGCTGCCAAGGGAATATCTCCAGACATCACCAGTCTGGGTTAGGCTGTAATCACTTGGGTAAAAATACTTTCCTAACCTCATGTTTGTATTTCTATTGCTTTCTGTGGAGTGGGGGGCAAAATGTAAGATCCACTGCTGTTTAACATTTTATAATGTCCAAAGATTGGATATCAGTGCCACTGGGCTCCATTAGCCTGGCTCGTGTTATCCTATCAGTGCCAACAGTGAAGTCTGTGACTGTGCTGTGCAGCTCCCAGGTGGGACTCCATGTATGTTTGCACGTGTGATCTGTATCCAGAGGAACCCCCCACCTCCCCCACAGCTTTTAATGATGTTTCAGTTACTGACCTAATAAAGCAGAGGGGAAAAAATCATCTCCCAGCTTTACTCACTACACAAGCCATCCACACTGTAGAAACATGAAAGGCAACTGAGGCAAATTGAGGGAAAATACCGACCAGCTGTCATCTTTCGATGTAAAAATAAAACAACAACAGTTGAGTCACCGAGCCATATGCAGGACACAGTGAAAGGAAATAAAGCCTTTCATAAAGAAACTCAGCTGTTGCGGGCAGCATGAATCATGTAACACCCAAAGGAGCGAACACTTGCTTTGTCTCTTTTTGCTGTAAGGAAGTATTTAACATGAGATACTTCCATCCAGGAGGCATTAAGCAAGGGGAAATCCATCTTTGGCATGACAGCTGGGATGACAAGATTCACAATAGTGAGAATAAAGTGCCATGCCATGACCCGTCAGACCCAGGAGAAGCATTTTTCTCCCCACCACAGCAAAGATCGAAACTTTTATCCAAACTTGGTCCTGTTTTCATTCTGAGACTGATCCAAGACCTTTAAGGTGGACAGGTGAGAGTCCATACTCATGTTTTAGTGCAAAAAGGGGACAGGGACTGACTCTGAAAGGACTAGTTGAAGATCACATTTTTGATAGTTTTGTGTTTTAAGAAATTCGTGCTTTATTTCTTTCTGTGAGTATTTATTGCAGCTAACGATTAAAGAGATTTTTATTGTCGATTGTTTGTAATTGCTGTTGCAGTTGTGGATGCTTATTGTAAATATGGCCAAAGTTTCAAATAATGTCTCTGTATACCCAGGCTTTAGACTGCTCAAAGTGTTCACTTACAGCTTTTTGGGATCTTTATGAGGCCAAACAGGCTGACAGCTCTGGTGCTTCCACTCAGAATCAAGCAGAGCTTGATGGGAAAGACAGTTGCAGCGTGGATGTTTGAGCTGCTCCCATTTGAATCTCATTCATGTTTGGAATCTTGTCCTTTCAGTGATAAAGCCAAAGTATTTGTAGGCTTAGGTTTCCTTATGAAATGATTTCTTTTTTGAAGAAACTTGCCACATAGGAGGGTCTCAGTGGCAGGGAGGCAGGGATAGGATTTATTTCCTTATTACACCTTTGTGCAGATAAAGGCATTTCAAAAGCTACAGGCTACTTGCTATATGAAATTTCAATCTGTATTTTTCATTATAAGAGGAAAAGCCTTCTTTCCCAATAAAACAAACACATGGCATGTACAGTATGTTTTTTCCCCTTTTGGTGCACATCTGGAACATAATCATTTGCATTTTCGACCAATTTTGGTAACCCCCATGGCTTTTCACCTCCAGGAATGAGTCTGTTTTTAACAAGCAAAATCAATAATTTGTGCAGATGATGCACACTGGCCCCACGGGACAAAACTAAACTGTTTTTTTTTCTGAATCTGTTGATACTGAAGGAAAAACTTCAAGAGGGGCCAGTAGATTTGTCCACCATCTCCCAGATTACAGAGTACCTGACAGACAGGCCACAGTTTGTCAGACTGGCTTATCATCGTCTGACATGGTGACGGGCTGTCTCCATTCCTGTTCCCTTTGTGCACCTCAGATTTTGAATACAACCCTATAGAAACACTCTGACGATTCTGCAGTGGTTGGATGTACTAATGATAAGCAAGAGGAGGAGTACAGAGCACTAGTGGATGATTTTGTGTGCATTCTGTGAGGAATCACCTGCTTGTGAATGCGAATAAGACCAAAGAGATGGTGACGACGAGCACAGCTACACGACCAGTGTTGGTCCTGGGACCGATTGTCTATTTGATGGAGGTTTACCCATGCAACCATGACGGCAACAGGCTGACCTGGAAGATGAGCAGGCTCTGTTTACTAATAAAGCTGCAAACCACAGCAAAACAGACATTATCAGTCTGCTGTAGCGAGCACAGTGTACGGAGCAGGAAGGCTGGCTCTGTGATTGGCTGAAGTAACAAACCTAACCACCTCTGCTGCACGCACTGGACAGCAGCAGAGAAACTTTCTCTAACAGGCTGATTCAGCCACATGGACAGATACAGGAAGTCTTTCATAGGTCATGTGACACATCTATCTGAAAATCATGTTTTCTCATGTTAATGGTTTATTCAAACCCTGCACCCAGGAACCAGACACGCAGCAAAAAAAAGGGTGGACAGATCTATATTTAAACGTATACTTTGTTTCCTTATTTGGATTTCAAATCAGATTTTACTTTAGTGAAATATGTTGCCATTTTGAATTTTATTTTACTGCGCTATACACTATTATACCTATATTGTTATAGGTTGTATTAACCTTTATTTTTAACTTCTGTACCGAAGAAATTCTCCAGCTTTTGAGGTTAAAGTGCGACTTAGCTAAAGTGAAAAGCTGCACGAACCCACCCACAGAAAACAATTCAGACAGTTAGTACAGGTTTTATTTACCATACATACAGTTTGCACTGCCAAGCCAGAGCCAACATCATTTCATTCAAAGCTATAGACAAACAGTACATCACATGCCAACATTTGCATATCCAGTTCCTCTAACAGTCTCACTCACGTCACCGTAAACCTGGTTCTCTCTTGCACGATAGAAGTCACATATTTATAGACATTTACATGTGTATCTACACTCAATATCTCTACAAAGCATAGAAAAAATAAATTTCATTACCTTTATTCTTACATTATTCATTATTACATTATGTATATTTATTGATGGCAAAGCAGGGGTTTATGGTTTGACCACATGTTGCTGGATCTCGGAAGGAAAACAGTTTTCACTGCAGCTTAAAGCACAAAGCCGTCGTCCACCTGTTTTGGGACAGAGTGGACTGCGATGCGACCGGGGGAGAGCACAGGTGACTCTGCTGAGACAGCCTTCATCTGCAGTCACGTGGCAGAGCCATTAATCCAATCTTTCATGCTTTTTAAGAAAGTGTCCACGGGGAGCGTTAGAGTGAAAAAACAAAACACCCCAAAAACAGATTCCAGTAAAAAAAAAAAAAAAAAAAAAAATCACTTCAATCAGTCAGATCGTACAGTCTGATTGTATAAGCACATTTAACAAAAATGGGAGGAGCAAAGAGTTTAGAGAGCAGTCGTTACCCTTCCTGTAAGTTTACATGCATTTAGAGTAGATGGTTCCTTCCTCTTTATTCTCTCCAGGAAAGAAAAATATCCTGGGCG